GGTACGGTCGAGCAGCCAAGCCAGAGAGAGGGTCGGGGGGTGTCCATTGCTCTCGGGGCCCTCCCCCCCCCCCCCCCACGTCCGGGGGCAGTCTTCGGGAAGGAACGAAACCCCAGATGCGGAGGTGGCGGGCCCCGCCCCGGCGGAAATACGCCGGGGCGGCAAGACGGACGGACGTAACGTAGTCCGTCCCCCCCGCTCGACGTGCCCCGAACCATGGTGAGGCATCGGCGCATCCGCACCCAGCGAGTGTCCCTTCCGGCGGGCTGGCGGGCGGGCGGGCGGGGCGCGGCCCAGGCCGCGGGCGACCAGGGCCGATCAGGAGGCGTCTCGGCGCGCATGAGATGACGACGTACAAGGAACCGGCTGCCAGGCCGTGGGACACGCCCCGGGGTCCGGCATGTGTGCGACTGATGTGAGCGCCGAACAGCACTCTCGGGCCTTGTTCGCTGGCGGGCCGGTAGCCCTGCCGTTGTGCTTGGAGGCTCGTCCCCCTCCCGCCACCAGCCCCCCCAGGCCCGGAGCAGCCAGGCCCGGTAGCCACCAAGGGGGCAAGCCCCGCGGGAGGGGGCCCTCCAACGCATCCCCATTGTCGGGACTTTCCCACGTTTCGCCGGAGCGAGTGCTTGTCGGGGTCCCGCCTCGGGAGAGCGCGCGCTCACGCAAGGAGCATGCGCGCGGACTCCCTGCGGGGCATATTGGCACACTCGTCCCCCCCCCCCCCCCCCCCCCTCCCTTCTCCCGCGCAAACCCACACCCGCACCCGTCGAGGCCTGTCTGCCCACTACGAACCGGCCGATGGACATCCATCATTCGGGCATCATCACACCTGCGGTTGGCGGAGGGCGCGGCCGCGGCGGCCCGGCCGCCCCAGTTCGTCCGCTTGGGCATTGTCATTCAGCTGATCATTCGCCTCCCCACCGTCATGTGCCTAGAATCCCCTGGAAGTCACACCTGCGCTAGTGCGCACGGAGGGGGGGGGCGGCCCACCGCGCCCTGCCCTGGTGGTCGGCCGCTTGAATCCCGCCACCGTCTATTTCAGATCCCGCCGTGTGGACGGACTGCTACACCAGCACAGCACTCCCCCTCCCCACTCCGCTCGCCCCTCATCCCTTCCTGCCCCCCCCCCCTCTCCCTTCTCCCCCCCCCCCTCTTTCGCGTATCCCCCTGCATCTAGCCCCCGCTGCTCCAAGGGTCCTGACTGGAAAGAGCATGTCTCAGAAGCGCAGCGCGGAAGAGGCTGGCATTGGCCCCGGTCGAGCCAGCGTCCGGCCCCATCTTGCAGCCGGACCGCCCCTCTTGAATGTCCCGGCCGTGCACCCCGGTGCGCCGGTGGCCGCGCGGCCGCGGCCGCCCGGCGCACCCATGGGCATGGCTCGGCCGCCCTCCGGCCCGGTGCCGGTCCCGCTACACGCACCGCCGGTCATGGTCCGGCCACCCGGGCCATCTGCCGGTGTCAGTGTCGGCGCCCCGGTGGGCCGTCCCGTTCCGCTGGCCGTCCCGCTGCCGGCCCCCACCACCGCCGCCGCCGGGACCCCGTCCAGCGGGACGAGATCCGTCGGCCCGATGGCCCCATCCGGCCGGGCTGGCCCTGGCGGGGTCGCCGCCGGTGCCATTCCCGTGCCGTATGCGGTGGCCGTGCGGTCGATGGCCACTTCGACCGGCGTGGCATTGGCCTCGGCTCCCACGGCCGCCGTGGTTCGGCCCACCAGCGGCGTGGCTCTCTCCTCGCCGCCGGTCCCGGCGGGGCCCACCCCCACGGCCGCCGCCGCCGCCGCCGCCGCCGCTGCCACGGCGTCCGCCTCTGCCGCATCCCCGGCCGCCCCGGCTGCTTCGACCACTTCGGCACCGGGTACCCCGCTCGGCGGCCCGGCTGCCACGGCCGCCGCCACGGCCGGCCCTGCCGCCGCCACCACCGCGCGGCCCATCCCTCAAATCGATCCAACCATCCTCTCTTGGGGCGCCTACTACGAGAGCCTTCGTCGCGCCGGGCAGGACCCCGTGGTCACGGTGGCCAAACAGCACCTCGCCCAGTATGATGGGAATATGGCGGCCGCGACGGCCGCTGCCCAGGTGGCCATTGCCTCGGTCGATGCCCAGTACCAGGCCTACCAGGGTGCGCGCTTTGGCCCTCCTGCCCTTTGTCCTGGCCCGCCGTTCCTTTTTCCCTCTTTCCCTTTCGGTGGCTTCCCTTGGGGTCTCTCTTTGCTCCTCACCCTGGCTGTCCATCTTGCCCGCCTTCGGCCCCATGCGCCACCCATCCGCAGCCGCCACTGGCGCCCTTGATCTCGAGAAGAAGCGCGAGATCACTGCCCGCGCAGCCGGCGGTGAAGTTTGGAACGATCCGACCCTCGCCCAATGGGATGAGAGTGCGTGCTTGTCGCTGTGGCCTGTCCCTTTGCCACTCTTCTCCCCCCGCCCCAAGGCCATCGCACTGACCCCAGCACACCCAGACGACTATCGCATCTTCATTGGCGATCTCGGAAATGACGCGACCACCGAGCTTCTGACGTCGGTCTTCCGGGAGTATCCCTCCTTCCTGCAGGCGCGCGTGGTCATGGACAAGCGCACCAACACGCCGAAGGGCTACGGCTTCGTGTCCTTCTCCGATCCGGATGACTACCTGAAGGCCTTCCGGGATTGGGACAACAAGTACATCGGATCGCGCCCGGCCAAGATGCGTCCCTCCTCCTGGAAGGATCGGTCACGCGTCGAACAGGACCCAACCGAGATCCGGGCCATGAAAAAGATGCACGGCATCCTCTACAAGAAGAAGAGGTGCGCGTGCGCTGGGTGGAGGTGCCCTGGAAGGTTTCCTGCCTTGGTCGATGACTAACCCCGTGTCCTGGCATTGGCCATGCTTCCCCCTCCATGCTTCCGCTGCTTCCTTGGTCCCCCTGTAGCCGGTAGCGGTGTATTCCGCAGAGACACGGACGCCGTCGTTGGTCTCTTTTTTTGTCATTTGCCCCTCAGATCAAGACGTGCAGACGGGAAAATACACACAATACCCAGACACGCGACATCGTTGACATACACACACGCACACACACAGACACACACAGACACACACGCACACACACGCACACACACGCACACACACGCACACGCACACACACGCACACACACAGACACAGACACACACAGACACACACACAGACACACACACAGACACATCGGAAAGGCACACAGGCAAAGAAAGAAGGAGGGGGAAATGAGTACATGCAGCGCCGGAAACCGGCGCCGTACATCGGAGTGGAGAGGGA